TGTCTGGTTGTACTGTGTATCTGTTTCTTTTTTGATAGAGAACAATTTGGCAAAATCACCATAAACATATTCCAAGGGGGTAATCCAAAAGGAAAAACACATTTGCAAAAATGTGATCAGAGCAGCCCTGTACATTGTAGTGAAAGATTTGAAACGACACAAATGCCTAATCATAGAGGCGTGGCAGAGCAACCTCGGTTATTCTAACAAAACGAACATAAAGGTGAGTTGAAAGAACGAATCCCAAAACATTCCACGTCGCCAGTTATCACGCAGACAAGCAGACTTGGAGACAACGTGGAGGGATAAATACAGCTTCGTTTTCATTAGCGTCTTCATAATTGTTGCTAAAAGGTGACCGCTTTGTCTCCTCAGGGTAACTCCGAAGAGGAGTAGGGGTATGTTTTGAGCAAGGACAGAAAGGACGAAGTAGCCCCAGTGGGTTCTTTTGAAGGGACCCCGCTCACTGGCTGTGAAATTCTGGGGTCCTTGCTAAAGGAGTATGATCACATCAAGTTTTCCTTACACTTGCACAAGTGTGTGTGTGTGTGTGTGGGGGGGCTGAATCAAGGTGAGCTGGGTTGGGAAGGCTTCAGCGAGAAGAGGAGTTTGCTGAGTCACAGCTGCCCTGTCTGCCCTGTGGGGTTTCCTGACACCCAACAAGATGCCAAGGCTCCAAAGGGCTGTAGGGTGCAGACATGGGGCAGGGTGGTTATTTCCTCTTTCTCTTCGGTTAGGCTTGAACTTACCCACACTTGAGGTTTCTTCCCTGCCCCACCTCACCCCCCAAAGGCCCCCCAGTTTGCAGGGCCACCGTTCACACCCCGAACCTCTCTCAGCGGACTTCACACATGGGGTGCATAGAGGGTTGGGGTGGGCACAGGTGGAATCAGTGTCTGTGTAGACACGCCCTGGGCATTGGGTTGGTGTTTTCTTCTTCCTCTGACGGCCCAGACAGCCTTACCTGTGAGGCAGGCCCCGGCCTAGGGAGCTGGGGCCACACTTGCCCCTTCTGGGAGCTCACAGCCCAGTAGGGAAGGGGAAAAGACAGAGGAATGGCTGTCTTCAGTCCCCTGCACCTACACCAGCGGGCAGCTAGGCCAGCCAGCGGGGGAACAGAAAAAGGCCAGGCCACTTGTCTAGCTGGGCCAGGACCCCCCACTCAGGACCTGAGACAGGCAGGCCACAAGGACGTGGAGTTGGCCCAGGAGTTCAAATCCCTTCTAAAGGCTGCGGCTGGCCTAGCTGCTGCGGGAAACTGGCCCAGGATTCCCAGGTCTTCATGTTAAGAAAAGTCTGAAACCCCAATTTCTATGTGAAATGAATTTTTTTAAAAATGTGTTGAGTCAACACTGTGCAGGCCAAACTCACTTTGATGAATATGGCCCGTGGGCCTTCATGTGAGAACCTAAATGAGACCCTACCTGGGGCAACTGCAGACTGGAGCGGGACCCTGGGCAGCGAGCCTGGGGGCCACACCAGCCCTGGGTCCAACTTTCTACCATTGACTCTGGTCATCCTGCTCATCACCACCAAGCCACTAGGGGGCACTGCAGTCCCTGGCATCTTACACTGGCAGAACAAACCAGGTCCCCAAGAGCCCCCACCCCAGCCCATCCAGACAACCTCACTGCCAGGGACTCCTCTGGGGACTTCTTGGCTTTTTCCCCCCCCATTTTTATTTAATCAAAAATTTAATAAATAGGAAATGTATTATTTAATAATAAATAAATTCTTTGTGTCTGGTTCCTTTTGTCCTCTAGGCCAGGATTGCCCAATAGAAATCATGTGAGACATATTTTTAATTTTAAATTTTCTACTAGGCACATTTAAAAAAAGTAAAAAGAAATAGATGAAATTAATTTTAATAATGCCTTATTGAGCCCAATATATCCAAAATATTATCATTTCAATAAGAATCCATATGAAAAGTTCTTTTTATTTTAATAGATTTAGCAGATACAAGTGTTTTTTTGTTACGTGGATGAATTGTATTATGCTGAAGTCAGGACTTTCAGTGTACCCATCACTAGAATAGTGTACATTGTATCCGGTAGGTAGATTTTTATCCTTCATCCACCTCCCACCCTCCCCCTTTTTAATTTTCTTTTCTCTTTTTTTTTGAGACAGAGTCTCACTTTGTTGCCCAGGCTAGAGTGAGTGCCATGGAGTCAGCCTAGCTCACAGCAACCTCAAACTCCTGGGCTCGAGCAATCCTGCTGCCTCAGCCTCCCGAGTAGCTGGGACTACAGGCATGCGCCACCATGCCCGGCTAATATTTTGTATATATATTTTTGGTTGGTCAATTAATTGCTTTCTATTTTTAGTAGAGACGGGGTCTCGCTCAGGCTGGTTTCGAACTCTTGACCTCGAGCAATCCGCCAGCCTTGGCCTCCCAGAGTGCTAGGATTACAGGCATGAGCCACCATGCCCAGCCACCCTTTTTAATTTTCAATGTCCATTACACTGAGTTATGACCATATATGCCCCTTGTTTAGCTCCCACTGGTAGGTGAGAACATGTCGAGTTTGTCCTTTTTTTTTTTTTTTTTTTTTTTTGAGACAGTGTCTCACTCTGTTGTCCAAGCTAGAGTGCCGTGGCGTCAGCCTAGCTCACAGCAACCTCAATCTCCTGGGCTCAAGCAATCCTTCTGCCTCAGCCTCTCAAGTAGCTGGGACTACAGGCATGCGCCACCATGCCCAGCTAAATTTTTGTATATATTTTTAGTTGAGCAATTAATTTGTTTCCATTTTTAGGAGAGATGGGGTCTCGCTCTTGCTCAGGCTAGTCTCAAATTCCTGACCTCGAGCGATCCTCCCGCCTCAGCCTTCCAGAGTGCCAGGATTACAGGCGTGAGCCACCGTGCCCGGCCTGAGTTTGTCCATTCTTGAGATACTTCACTTAAAATAATGGTCTCCAGTTCTATCCAAGTTGCTGTAAAAATGGGTGTGTGTGTATATATATATATCTACCACATTTTCATTATCCACCCATCCACTGATGGGCACTTGGGTTGATTCCTGCAAAGTATTAATGAGACATTTTACATTTTATTTTTGGACCAAGTCTTCAAAATTCAGTGTGTGTTGTGTGCTCACAGCACATCTCAACTTGGACTAGCCATATTTTAAGTGCTTAGTAGTGCTAACATGTGGGCTAGGCCGCATAGGCCCTGCAGAGGACCTGAGTCCTCCACCCAAGAGTCAGCTCCCAGGTCCAACTGGATGCAGACTTACAGCCTAGGGGGTCTCAGGGACCCAACTTGCCACCTTCTGAAGGAGCTTTCGTATTATAAAGGCATTAACATATTACTGGCAACTGCTGGGCAGGGGAGCCCAGCACACTGCCCTGGCTCTGCTCCTGGCCTCCCTTAGGACTGAGAGGAGGAGGAGGAGGCACCTTCCCCCAGGCCTGTATTTTGCGAATGACAGTGGGTTTCGTTTATTGAGCAAAAATTCTTAATTTAATATAATCAAATATATGAAACCTGAAAAATTTCCCCAAAGCCAACAAACAGCCCCTCTGGCTGGTCCTGCGTCTGACACTTGTCCACTGTGCTCCTTCCTTCCCTGCGGCCAGTCGTCCTCTCTCTGCCGGGTCATTCTCCTTCCACCTGCCGGCCCTGTCTGTGCTGGAAGCAGCGTTTCTGGAGCCAGCCTGATACATAACCCAAAGCCATGTCTTCCCAGTACTGTGGCCGGTTTCGCTCCTAACTTCCCCGGGACCCAACGGGGAATGGACATCTGATTGGGACACAGTGTGAGATGGGCACCTCTTTCCATTGCCACACCTCTATTTCTGATCTGTAATATGATAGCAACGGATTTGAACTTCACAGCCTCTGTGGCCCCATGTCACCTATGACCCTAAGATTTTCAACTATTTCATACGGCTCCCTCCAAACCACACATATACACACACCTCTGGTGTTCCAGGTCACCTTTGTAAAACACTGGAGGGAGGGACATCAGGGACAAAGAGAGAAAGAGATGCAGAGACTAGAGGAGGAGGCAGCAACAGAGGAAGCAAACGTAAGAAAGAACAAAGAGAGACAGAGAACATCCAAGAGGAAAAACAGCAGAACCCGAGGCCCCTGAGAGCCACCCTCTGCCTGGAGCAGCTGCAGAGCAGGAGGGTCTTTGCTCCCTGCTCTTTGACAGGGTGGAGAATTGCTGCTGGGCCTGGGACCCCTTTTACCCAGCCAGGTAGGACCCTCCAGGGGCTACGCTGCTGCTCGCATCTCCCCTGCCCCTGGCGCCAGGCCCCAGGCTTTGGCTGGACGTCTCTAGGGCTTGGGGGGGTCACAGTCTGGGTGGGATGTGGCAGGTGGGCCCAGCACTCCCAACAGAGGGGAGGAAGCACGAGTCTGCAGAAGAGAGGAGGGCTCAGCCCCAGGCCAGCTGAAGACACACCCCTTTGTGACCCACTTTGTCTCATTCCTCATCCAGAGCCCCCAGCCCCGAGCAGCAGACCCTGGGGCTGCCACGGAAAGCAGAGCTGTCCCAGGTCCTGCTGGGCTGGAAGGGCTGCGCCAGGCCGGGCAGAATGCTGCTGGGTGATTCTCTGGGGAGAGGAGAGGGGAATTGAAAGGGAAAAGCATCTCCAAGGAGGGCGGAGAGGGAGGGAGGCTGTGCGGTGCGGACACACACACACACACACACACACACACACACACACACACGCACAGCCTCCCTGGCTTAGCCAGAGCCTTACTGGGAAGAGGAGCATTCTGCGCTCTGCTCTCTGGGCTTTCTGTTGCTTCCCTGCCCGTCTGAGCCGTCAGCAGCGCCAGCAAAGTTGGCCTTCAACTTGAACGGAGCTGAGGGCTGGCTCCAGCTTCCTGCGAGCTCTGCGGGGCGGCGGGCGGGCCCCAGCCTCTGAGCTCACCTGGCCTTGAGAAGCCCACCCTACCCTCCCAGCACCCAGCTGGCCCTGGGTCCCCTGGGTGATGCTTCTGCCCCTCCCCGGGGCTGGGCAATGGTGCGCTGAGGTCCCTCTGGAGCCCCTTGTCCCAGCCTGGAGCTAGAGCGACGTGAGGCCCCGGCCAACATGGCCAACCTCCTGCAGCCTCAGTTTCCTCCAGCGCAGGAGCCGGGCTCCACCTCACCCCTGGACCTGCCGGAGATGGAGAAGCTCCTCACTAAGGTAGAGGACAAGGATGACAAGACCCGGAATCTGTCCAAGTCCCTCTCGGGGGCTCTGGATCTGGAGCAGAATGGCCACAGCGTGCCCTTCAAGGCGATCTCCGAGAAGCACCTGGAGGCCTCACTGCCCCGGTCCCCGTCGCGGGCCAGCTCGAGGCGGGCGTCCTCCATCGCCACCATCTCCTGCACCCAGGACCAGGAAGTCCCCAGAGATTACCTCATCCTTGCCATCGCCTCTTGCTTCTGCCCCATCTGGCCCCTCAACCTCATCCCCCTCATCTTTTCTATCATGGTAAGTGCTGCTGCTTGCTCCAGCGGCGGGGCCCGGAGTGGGGGTGGGCAGGCCTGTCCCCAGGGCGGGTACCAAACACGCTGCCTGGGGTGCGGAGAAAGGAGAGCTTCGTGCTGGGGGCAGGGGAAGGAGCCCCTTCCTTCCTTGCCCTAGGAGAGGGCCCCAGATTCTCTTTGCTGTCCTCTTTCCTCTCTGCATCTGGGCATCACAGCTGGCTTTGCGCCTATCGCTGCGGGGGACAGGGACTCGGGAGCTGCCTGGAGCGCAGACACATAACCAAGTTGGGGTCTTGCTTTTTATGGAGGGGCAGACTGTCCCCCAAAGTCATTCCTGAGAGTGGCTCTGTCTCAGCAGAGGTTGCAGCCAGAAGGGGGTCCCAGGGCCCTGTGATCCCAGGAAGGGAGCCAGGCCCCCTGAGCCACCTGGGCATCCTACCAGCCTGTGCCAGCTCTGGTTTCCAAGAGCCAGCAGCGGCTTCGCTGCTGTGCACCAAGGGCTCCAGGGCCCGGCTCCCCGAGGGGCCGCACAAGGAGGGGGTTTGCAGACTGCTCCGCAGGACGGGAGGAGTTTGCGCCGGAGCCCTCTGGACCTCGGTGGTTGCACTGATTTCAACATCTGACTTCAGGGCAAGGAAGGGCTGGGTCACGAGTGAAAAATTTGAGAGTCACAGGGCACGGCCAGCCTTGCCAGGGAGGGGCATGTGGCCTAGTCTTTGGTAAGGCTTTGAGTGAATCGCCATATACTGTTCTCAATATAAGCCATTTGGGGACAATATAAGACATTAGAGCTACTTACAGAGGATCCATAGAAAATATTGGTAGGTGTTGGCAAGTGACATTTCTGGGGGGGGGGAGTGGGAGAGCGAGAGAGAGCAAGCTGGGCATGGCAATAACTTTCAGAACGAGGTTAGGAGCCCAGGCTGGTCAGGGCCAGAGGACAGGGTGGGGTGGCACCATTTGCTCCCCTCTGGGGTGAATGCTGCTGGGTCGTCTGTCACCAAGCCCCCAGGAGTTGCTGTGCTCACTCTGGGCTGTCCTCCGAGAAAGCCCATAGTTCTTCAAACACTTCTATCCACTTGACAAAGGCTCAGGCTCCAGCCAGAGAAGCTTCTCCGCCCCACGTCGAATCCAGTGCCACCTTCCAGGACATCAGGGGACACTGGCAGCCCTCCTGAGTCTGAGGGACTGGGCATGGGCTCAAGAGCCAGGGCTGGGCACGGTGTGGGGCAGGGCCTTCCACGGAGCTTCCTGTGATGCCGCTACACTTGGGGACAGCTGGGGGCAGAGCCAGGCCCCCGGGTGCAGCCAGTGGCTCTGGGCAGGGCCAACCTCTTGATTACAGGGGAAGGCCCCAGGAGGGAGACAGTCCCTGGGGAGGGAGCCACACAAGGGCTCAGGAGAAAACAGTTGCTAGAATCCGTCTCCTGGTGGGGGTGGCAGGGTGCAGGCTGGGTAGCAGCTGCTCTTGTCAAAGGGAGCCCGAGTCCAGGGCTGTGAGACCACGGAGCCCACACCAGAGCATTTCTACACCCTTTTAAGGTTCTCGAGTCAGGTCTGATGGTCACTGGGCTGGGCTCAGGGAATACGGTGCTAACCAGACACCACTGCCAATTCCCAGGAGCCTCCAGCCCAGGGGGGAGAAACTTGTAAACAAATCCTTACAACATATTGTAAGAAGCACCCATACCAGACATAACCACTAGGCAGTTACATGGCCTTGGACACGTCATTCAAATGCCTCTTCTCAGAATTCCCGTTTGCAAAATGGGTATGACCGTTAATACCTACATTAGAAATGAGAGGCTCACAAAGTGCTTAAGTGCACAGTGTGCTTCTATTACAAGGTAATAGTAATTAACTGGCAGCTGGGCGGCTCCCTGGTGGAGGATGGGAAGCCATTGTAGGCTTTTTAAAAAATACTTTTATTGAGATATAATTCACATACCATTCAATTCTTCCATCTAAAGTGTGCAATTCAGCCGGGCATGGTGGCTCACGCCTGTAATCCTAGCACTCTGGGTGGGCAAGGCAAGTGGATCACTCAAGGTCAGGAATTCGAAACCAGCCTGAGCAAGATCGAGACCCTGTCTCTACTAAAAAATAGAAATTAATTGGCCAACTAAAAAAAAAAAGTATATATAAATTAGCCAGGCATGATGGTGCATGCCTATAGTTCTAGCTACTCGGGAGGCCGAGGCAGAAGGATCGCTTGAGCCCAGGAGTCTGAGGTTGCTGTGAGCTAGGCTGACGCCATGGCACTCACTCTAGCCTGGGCGACAGAGTGAGACTCAGTCTCAAAAAAAAATAAAGTGTGCAATTCAATGGTTTTTAGTATATTCACAGACAGGTGTGACATTAACCACAATCTATTTTAGAACATTCTCTTCCTCTCCAAAAGAAACTCCGTATCCTTTAGCTATCACCCTCCACCCTAGTCCCCCCAGCCCAAGGCAACCACTAATCTTCTGTTTCTATAGATTTGTCTATTCTGGACATTTCAAAATGGAGTCCTGTAATGTGCAGCCCTTTGTTACTGGCACAATGTTGTCAAGCGTCACCCCTGCTGTAGCACGCACGTCACATAAAGAGGGATTTGGTGCGGGGTGAGAGGAGGGGCTGAGGGGATGAGGCTGGCATTCGGGAGAAGAGGCGTGTGCAGGAATGTGCAGGTGACAGGCAAAGAGAGGCCCGGACCAGGGTCATGACAAGGGGCGGAGAGGGTTCTAGATGACCCTCACTCATTCAGTCGACTGGGATGGCAGGTTGCTTGTTTCGAGGGGAGTGAGTGGTAGAGGGTGAATAAGCTCCCCTGGGGATGAAGGTGTCTCCGTTATGAACCAGGCACTGTGCTAGGCATTGGGGAGGTGGATGGATAAGATAAGTGGATGGCCTGTCTGGCGGGGCAGAAGGGTGTGAGGGCGTGATGGGACAGGGAGGCAGCCAGGGACTCGCTCTAGAAATTTCTTTTATCCTGCTGGCTCTGAAGAGCTGCTGAAGAAGAGCTTTGAGCAGAGGCGTGGTCACTGCATATTTTAAAACCAACTCTCAGCTGCGCTTTGGGAAACGGGCTTGAGCAGGAAGACCTGTGGAAGTCTCCTGAGATAGTCCTGGCACGGTTGATGGGGATGTAGACTTGGCCTGGGGCCCAGCAGGAGGGCTCTGACTGGAGACCTGCAGAGGAGGAGGGAGCAGGGTTTGCTTCCCGTCCTGGCCGTCACACTCAGAAGCACTGGAGCCATCCTAGAGAGCTCTGGGGACCTACAGCATTTAGGGCGTGGGCAGAGGGCTGTGGACAGACAAGGGTTTGGAAAGGAGATTCCAGGAGGTGGAAAGGAAACTGGAAAGGAGGGAGACACACCCAGGGAGGAGCGAGTCTGAGGAAGGAGGGAGACGGTCTGATGCCGTGGAGAGGCCAGCTTCATGGAGTGTCCACGGGCTCAACCATTTGTTGATCCCTGGTGCCTTGGGGATGGAGAGGCCTGGACAAAAGGGAGAGGGGTGACTGATGAGGGAAGCAGAGAGATGGGATCCAGAGCCCAAGAAGGAGGAGCCCCCACCTCCCTGGGAGCCCAAAGTCTCAAAGGCCACAAGGGCAGGGGCAGAGGGAGATACTCAGAGAGATGGGAACCGGTTCCTGCTGCACGGTCTCCATGGGGGACATGAGGGCAAGGTCATCTGCTGAGAACTAGGGTCCTGGTAGCAGAGGGCAGGGGAGGTGACCAGGAACAGGCCGATGGCCAAGGGCTCTGCCAAGGCTGGAGACCGTGGGTCTGGGTTGTTATCAGGGGTGGAATTTTCTCCAGCTAGAGGTCCAGGTTCCCAGACGTGGGCATCAGGTGGACCCAAGGCCAAGGATGGCAGAGATGCCGTGAGAACAGGCCCAGGTGGCACAGGAGATGCTGGCAGGGGCGGCTGAGATGATGCTTGGAAGGGTCGGGCTGGGAGTGAGGCTGGGATGGTGGTGACCACCTTGGAGGAGAGGGAGGGGTCGTGGGCTGGGGCTCAGAGAAGTCAAAGGCCACAGGGGTGACAGAGATATTGGAGGCTAAGATTTCAGAGGAGGAGCCAGGTGGGGCGACTGCAAGGGGTGGAGTGTAGTTGTAAAAGTGAATTTCTTTTTTTTTTCTTGTATATATATTTTTAGTTAGGCAATTATTTTCTTTCTATTTTTAGTAGAGGTGGGGTCTCGCTCAGGCTGGTTTTGAACTCCTGACCTCAAGTGATCCGCCTACCTCGGCCTCCCAGAGTGCTAGGATGACAGGCGTGAGCCACCGAGCCTGGCCATGAAAGTGAATTTCTAAAGGGAAATATCGGGAGCCAGGGAGAAGGAAATCAAGAGAACACAGCATTGAGGGATAATATTATTAACTTTCACTGAGTGTCTGCTAAATGTTAGGTACAGTTCCAAGTCCTATTTCCCAGGACACTCCTATTTCCCAGGCAGGGAGGTCAGTTATCCATGTAGGGTGGTGACATGTAGGGTGGTCCCACCTGGTGGCAGCGCAGGTTAGAAGGACAGAGAGTGTGGTAAGAGAGGAAGTCACCTGTGCTGGTGTCTCCAGGTCCTGAGAGTGGACTTCAGAAGTCCTCATTGGAAGTCCCCACATTGGTTACCAAATGAAGGCTCAAGCCCTTGACCCCGGGGATGGAAGGAGACCCACAGCCTCTCTAGAGCTTGTTACTGTCTGCAGAATGCTCCAACGTGAGCTGGATAGTCTGGTTCATTGTCCCCATTTCACAGATGTGGCAACTGAGCCGAGCAGAGCCGTGCCTTGCCCACAGTCCCACAGCTGGTAAGGGGCACGTCAGCTCGATGAAGAATCCAATGTCCTCTCCACGGCCCCACCTGCACCTAGCTGTGGGGACAGGGACAGCGTGTGCTTCCCAGGAAAGCCAAACCTTTCAGACATTTGCACAGAGGGGGAAGAATTCCATTTCCTTCCCTCTTTCTTTGCCTTCCCTCCCAACACTCCTGCCACCCCATTAATCCCATCAGTGGGA